TGGAAAAGTTAAAGTCAGTTTTATGAGGCCAGTGCTGGATTGTACTCATGGCATGGAAATAAAAGCTAAGGCAAGTTTTATTCAAAGGTAAAAACATAAAATGGACTCACTACTCAAAATTTAATAAAATTAGTTTCAAAATTCTTTTAAGATCAAACTAATGACCAAAGATAAAATTTATAGAGTTTTTAATTTGGGTAAAACAGCAAGTTGGACCATATAATGAATATTGCAGTATCAAGTTCAGAAGATGTGATTATGTCATTGATTTACTATGCCACACCACTAATTTTAGCTACACATGTATATTGTACATTTTAATTCAGCATCACATACAATTTTTGTGGCTCCCTTCTGTTATTTTCAGATGGACAGTTTCCACAGGTAAGTTTCAAAACACACACATTTGTACAAGCACACACATGAACACACACAGGTTTTAAAGCAATCCATGACACCTGCCATGTGTTTAGTCACAGCAGAAAATTTGGGTGTGTGAGGACAGGACAGCAGCTAAATCCTTTTGAGATCCTGACCCCTAATATCTTGAACAGTTCTGAAAAAGTCCAGTCTGTTGGGGTGACAACATCTGATTGGGAAGACAAGTTAGTTTTCAGAGGCCTTGCTTTCATAAAAGTCCCCTAACCCGGTCAGGTTATACAGATGTCCATAATATGATCTCAGCAGTGATAAGACTCATGTATAAGAAAGTCTGACTGAGCCTTAACTACGTTATTGGTTGAGTATGTACCCCCTAAACTATCAGTACTGGCCTGTGGCAGAGAAAAATTAGTCAACCACAAAGTAATTGTATGCTAGCAGTGACTCAAAGGGAACTGCAGATGTGGTGTACAGTTTTAGAGGAGCTCATAAGCCACTGGCGGAAATAGGGCCAATGGAAAAATGCCCAAGTTCACAAAAATTTAAAAAACAAAATAAAACTTAAAAATAATATTTTAACCATATTATCATCCTACTTTTAGTCATTTTTTATTTACTACCCGTAGCTTAGTATCTGGTAATTGTAGGCATTCCGTAATTGTTGGTTGAATGGGTAAAACATGGCAGCCAAGATGTATTGAGCACTTCCTGTGTGCTAAACACTAAGAACTTCTAACTGCATTATCACACTTAAATCCATGATAATTCTATGAGGTCTGGTTGTGGAAACGTGACTTCTGTTACATATCCAAGGTCACCCAGTGAGTGTGGGAGGCAGGATTTGAAGAAAGGTCTGGTGCTCCAAGGGGGTGCTTTTGATAACTAGGATACAAATCCTTAAAACAGATTAAAGTTGGAGTGTTTCTATCAGGAGCTAAACTGTTGGTGAACTCTTGTTCTGTTCACACAAACTTTGTTATTTTTTTAATGGTAATGATTATAGCATCGTCATGTTGTTGCCGCAAGTTTTACTGGTTTATGTAAGGTATTTTACTTGGTTTTCTATAAATGCCTCTTTAAGAAACACAGGGACACTGGACTTAAATGTAACTTCAGGTCACTGGTTGACCCAGCTCCAAAAATTCCTGTGAAAATTTCGCTTCCCATGGGTAAAAGATAAATTCAGGTATAGGAATTGATGCACATTTTAATTCTTGCTACAAAGCCCAGGCTTCTGCACAGAAATGGGCTTTAGATCATGTCATGTTATAGCAGTCTACCACTGTGTCACCTGCATGTCACCTCACTGACATT